CGATTCCTTCTGAAAAATGTATTCGTAACTTGAATCTTTAATTCTGCTTCCACAAGTAGTCTTCGTATCTTCATCTTTAATCTTCTTCATTCGAATGTATCTTCATATTTTCATTTTGTATTCTTTTCTAAAAATGTCTTCATATCTCTAATCTCTATAGTTCTGTCTCTGAAAATCTTCTCCGCATCTTGAATCTTTATATTTCTGCCACTGAAAAGCTAATGTAACATTAAAATTAACTAGACCTAACTTACAACCTTCATTTCTGCATCTCCAAGGTGTCTTCGTGTCTTCATTGTTCGGATGTCTTTCTGTTCATAATTCTGCTTCCAAAAGTAGTCTTCGTATCTTCATCTTTAATATTCTCCATTCGAATGTATCTTCATATTTTCATTTTGTAGTTCTTTTTTTGAAAAATGTCTTCATATCTTGAATCTTTATATTTCTGCCACTGAAAAACTAATGTAACATTAAAATTAACTAGGCCTAACTTACAACCTTCATTTCTGCATCTCCAAGGTGACTATCTCCAAGGTGTCTTCGTGCCTTCAATGTTCAAATCTATTTCTGAAAAATGTCTTCGTAACTTGAATCTTCATAATTCTGCTTCCAAAAGTAGTCTTCGTATCTTCATCTTTAATCTTCTGCATTCGAATGTATCTTCATATTTTCATTTTATAGTTCTTTTCTTGAAAAATGTCTTCATATCTTCAATCTTTATAGTTCTGTCTCTGAAAATCTTCTCCGCATCTTGAATCTTTATATTTCTGCCACTGAAAAGCTAATGTAACATTAAAATTAACTAGGCCTAACTTACAACCTTCATTTCTGCATCTCCAAGGTGTCTTCGTGCCTTCATTGTTCGGATCTCCTTCTGAAAAATGTCTTCGTAACTTGAATCTTCATAATTCTGCTTCCAAAAGTAGTCTTCGTATCTTCATCTTTAATCTTCTTCATTCGAATGTATCTTCATATTTTCATTTTGTAGTTCTTTTCTTGAAAAATGTCTTCATATCTTCAATCTCTATAGTTCTGTCTCTGAAAATCTTCTCCGCATCTTGAATCTTTATATTTCTGCCACTGAAAAACTAATGTAACATTAAAATTAACTAGGCCTAACTTACAACCTTCATTTCTGCATCTCCAAGGTGTCTTCGTGCCTTCAATGTTCAAATCTCCTTCTGAAAAATGTCTTCGTAACTTGAATCTTCATAATTCTGCTTCCAAAGTAGTCTTCGTATCTTCATCTTTAATCTTCTTCATTCGAATGTATCTTCATATTTTCATTTTGTAGTTCTTTTCTTGAAAAATGTCTTCATATCTTCAATCTCATAGTTCTGTCTCTGAAAATCTTCTCCGCATCTTGAATCTTTATATTTCTGCCACTGAAAAACTAATGTAACATTAAAATTAACTAGGCCTAACTTACAACCTTCATTGCTGCATCTCCAAGGTGTCTTCGTGCCTTCATTGTTCGGATCTCCTTCTGAAAAATGTCTTCGTAACTTGAATCTTCATAATTCTGCTTCCAAAAGTAGTCTTCGTATCTTCATCATTAATCTTCTTCATTCGAATGTATCTTCATATTTTCATTTTGTAGTTCTTTTCTTAAAAATGTCTTCATATCTTCAATCTCTATAGTTCTGTCTCTGAAAATCTTCTCCGCATCTTGAATCTTTATATTTCTGCCACTGAAAAACTAATGTAACATTAAAATTAACTAGGCCTAACTTACAACCTTCATTTCTGCATCTCCAAGGTGTCTTCGTGCCTTCAATGTTCAATCTCCTTCTGAAAAATGTCTTCGTAACTTGAATCTTCATAATTCTGCTTCCACAAGTAGTCTTCGTATCTTCATCTTTAATCTTCTTCATTCGAATGTATCTTCATATTTTCATTTTGTAGTTCTTTTCTTGAAAAATGTCTTCATATCTTCAATCCATAGTTCTGTCTCTGAAAATCTTCTCCGCATCTTGAATCTTTATATTTCTGCCACTGAAAAGCTAATGTAACATTAAAATTAACTAGGCCTAACTTACAACCTTCATTTCTGCATCTCCAAGGTGTCTTCGTGCCTTCATTGTTCGGATCTTTTCTGAAAAATGTCTTCGTAACTTGAATCTTCATAATTCTGCTTCCAAAGTAGTCTTCGTATCTTCATCTTTAATCTTCTTCATTCGAATGTATCTTCATATTTTCATTTTGTAGTTCTTTTCTTGAAAAATGTCTTCATATCTTCAATCTCTATAGTTCTGTCTCTGAAAATCTTCTCCGCATCTTGAATCTTTATATTTCTGCCACTGAAAAGCTAATGTAACATTAAAATTAACTAGGCCTAACTTACAACCTTCATTTCTGCATCTCCAAGGTGTCCATCTCCAAGGTGTCTCTGCCTTCAATGTTCAAATCTCCTTCTGAAAAATGTCTTCGTAACTTGAATCTTCATAATTCTGCTTCCACAAGTAGTCTTCGTATCTTCATCTTTAATCTTCTTCATTCGAATGTATCTTCATATTTTCATTTTATAGTTCTTTTCTTGAAAAATGTCTTCATATCTTCAATCTCTATAGTTCTGTCTCTGAAAATCTTCTCCGCATCTTGAATCTTTATATTTCTGCCACTGAAAAGCTAATGTAACATTAAAATTAACTAGGCCTAACTTACAACCTTCATTGCTGCATCTCCACGGTGTCTTCGTGCCTTCATTGTTCGGATCTCCTTCTGAAAAATGTCTTCGTAACTTGAATCTTTATAATTCTGCTTCCACAAGTAGTCTTCGTATCTTCATCTTTAATCTTCTTCATTCGAATGTATCTTCATATTTTCATTTTGTAGTTCTTTTCTTGAAAATTTTTCATATCTTCAATCTTTATAGTTCTGTCTCTGAAAATCTTCTCCGCATCTTGAATCTTTATATTTCTGCCACTGAAAAGCTAATGTAACATTAAAATTAACTAGGCCTAACTTACAACCTTCATTTCTGCATCTCCAAGGTGTCTTCGTGCCTTCTCTTCGTGCCTTCAATGTTCAAATCTCCTTCTTAAAAATGTCTTCGTAACTCGAATCTTCATAATTCTATTCCAAAAGTAGTCTTCGTAACTTCATCTTTAATCTTCTGCATTCGAATGTATCTTCATATTTTCATTTTATAGTTCTTTTCTTGAAAAATGTCTTCATATCTTCAATCTCTATAGTTCTGTCTCTGAAAATCTTCTCCGCATCTTGAATATATTTCTGTCACTGAAAAGCTAATGTAACATTAAAATTAACTAGACCTAACTTACAACCATTTCTGCATCTCCAAGGTGTCTTCGTGTTCAGCTCTCCTTCTGAAAAGTGTCTTCGTAACTTGAATCTTCATAATTCTGCTAAAAGTAGTCTTCGAATCTCCATCTTAAAGTTCTGCTTTTGATAACTGTCTTCATATCTTCATCATCATAGTACTGCTTTTGATAAGTATCTCCATATTCACAATCTCTATAGTTCTGCCTCTGGAAATCAACTTCAATCTCTATAGTTCTGCGTCTGAAAAGCTAATAATAACATTAATATTAACTAGTTCTAGTTTTTAAACTGAAATTCCGCCAATTGCTAGAATGAGTTCAAATTCATTTATAACAAAAAAAAAATTAAAAAAGCCATGGCATGCCCTGTAAATTTTCCTTTCCATTGTCGCTCTCGTAAACTACATCTTCGTTTCCTGTTGAAAATATCTTAAAGAAATTGCATGGAGTAAATGATTATGACAAAACGGATAGCTAAATAAAGATATAGCATGATAGATAAAAATAATTCATTCCTAAATATAATATATCAATAATAAACATAAAACAGTGTACATAGATATAGTAATATGATTGTCTTCGAAAATTCGTTCACAAACATCAAAAGAAATATTTATGCAATTTCCGAAGTGGACTGGAACTGCCAGCACACATGGGCTGTCAAACACCCATATTTTATATTGACACACGTAAAAAAGATTGCTTGTCAATTAATTTTTGATTCAAAAAAGAAGGCAACGACATTCAACCGTAATGTCACGTTTGATACTAATGATTTGAAAATAAAAATAAAAAGACCTCTATCTGCCAACCTATTACCAGAATCTATGGATATTTTATATCAGAATTGACAAAACCAAAATCGCCTAATTATGATTGCAATGCTGTGTTTTCCTCTCCCTCCCAGGGTCCACCACCATTTCCCAGAACCCCCAACCCCCTCCCTACCCCTGTATCTGTAAGTGTAATTTGTAGAGTGTTTGAAGAAGTTGACGTTGAAGATGATGAGACAAAGCCATGCCGGCCTGGTTTGTCACAAGATTTCTCACGTTCAATAAGCAGTGTTGATGGAAGATATGAAGTAAGGAAAAAATTTGTGTTATGGCGGCATTGACAACCATAGATAGACTATCTGGTTTTTGCCACAAACTGGTAAAAAAATATTGTTAGAATCTTCAATTTAACTCACAAGTGATATATATATTAAAATAATATATATATAACATATTTTATATAACAATTCGTCAGGACAGCATTGGTACAATTTAGATATGACAAAAATGTCGATCGCCGTTGCCTTTACGCCCAAGTATTACACTGTTGCAGATATATATGTTTAAAACTAAAATGATTGAATAAAATTTTATGCAGATATGAAGAATACTGTGTTGTGATAAAAGTTCCACATCAGAATTTTATGAAATTCATTAATGCAATATATTTCAATGAAAATATATTTTATATTCATCTTGCTGTGACTTCAAATATGGGAATTGTATTGTAAAGTAATAAACACAATTGCTTTGATTTGTAATCAAGAATCTGTTTGCAATCATCACATAAACAGTTCATTCTTGATGGGTCGACCCATGTTAAAGCTTTGAATATAATCGTTTGTATGCATACAGGATCAGTCTTTTTCACATAAGTGTGGTTCAATGCATTTTATTTGTGAGCCAATCTTAGTTATCTTTGATCAAACTCACATTTATATTTGAATACTTGTTGTATTTACAACTTTTTTTCTGTGAACAGAGAATGTCGTCAAGATTCCATTTCCATAAGTGAGGAAACCTGAAAAATTATATTACAAGTAATACGCCGAAGGTATGGCATTCTCTTAGGAATCGTAGTAGCATCATGATGACCAATAATAAGCAAAAAATAGTCTTAGCTTATTAATTGATAACCTTCGATCGCATTTGTGTTTTGATTTTTCGCAGTAAAAATTTAAAATGGGCATTTCGTATCTAATAGTAAATTATTCGAAACAGTGAGAGAAAAATTTCGAATTGCTGCCATCTTGTTTTTTTCCTTCCTTTGTTTTATTCAGGCCATATTTTTTCAAAGCGATTCAGATCTATGACTATTTTTCTGTAGTCTGATATTGATAAAATTTTTATCATGTGTGAACGCTCAACAATCTGTCTTAAAAAGCCTGCCGAACCTTTTTCGTTTCGCGGGCCACTTTCACGTGACGAAATTCGTTGCGGGCCGCAAACGTTTGTACAAGACATTAATAACAGCTAAGTCCGATTTCGGTGTAGGTAACTTACACAATACATAAAAGGCAAGTTAATTAACATAAAATCAATCAATTTAATAATTGCTTTCTGGTTACTGAGTACGTAAAGGCAAATTATTCGAATATCAAGTCGAATATTAGAATACCAGTCCACTATTCGAATATCTGGTAACACGGGGCGTGGACATGACACTTGCGGTTTTTTGACGACCACACGAGAATACACACACCACGTCGGAATTGAGTGTTATATTTGCGTTATAGTGTTTTTATTCATTCATTTGTGAAACTGCCTCAATGCTTAAATGAGCATTATGTGCGCCAATGTCGCGGGAATATCAAGTTTAAGTGGGCCTTTTCTTAAAATTTGAAACACCAATACTGAAGTAACATTACAAAGATTTCTGAACGAATAGCGTATATATATTGATTTGTGACCAATATGCAGCAATGCAATTAAGTCAATTTCATCAGCATTTTTGACGGACAAGCAGTGAACACATTTCCGAAATCTTATTTAGCACAACATTAGATAAAAAATACGAACATAAAAGGACAACGAGTCACGGGACCAGTACCAAAGATATTGTTGACCTTTTATTTTACGTTGGCGATAAAGACGATCAAAGCACACACGCAAGAAAACAATCAGAATGAAATTAATTTGCAAATTTAGGTTTTAAATTCATTCCTATACTTGCTTTCAGCGTTCGTCCTCAATAATCGCACAATATCTTTTTTGAGTTCGCCGAACAGAACGCACAGTTCTGCGAGAAATAAACAAAAAAACTGACGTCGATGTCCACCGGGGTGCAAGCCTTGACACATACGTAATAATAAAAACCGCCATTTAAATGTAGATAAATGGCAGGAATAATCACACCAAAATCACGAAATACAACATGGTAAAAACCTAAGAAGTCTGCTTACGAACTTATAGGGCGGGCCGCAAAAAACAGTCCAGCGGGCCGCGGGTTGGGCAGCCTGCTCTAAATGATGTATTTTATGTTTTTAGTAATCCATTTGTTGTCAGGACCGATTACAATAAAAAAGTTGCATACATTTATATGTCTCTCAAGTAATTCGAAAAAATTATTCGATCGATTCCTAAATCATCAGGTATTTCGAAATTCCAGAGCCCTAACAATGGACCTATTACATGAGATTTTATACGATGACACAATCGGTACTTATGGGAGTCGAACCCATTTGAGCTCATTTTTTATTTCGCTTTATTATGATAAAAAAATACAAAAAAAAAAGTGGATACCAGTGTTTACTTAAGGGAATTATAAGTGCAAAAGTGCTTCACAGTTGAAAGAAGTTCTTTGGCCGATTTTAACACATTAGGCGCCTTCGCTTTTATGTTAACTCAATCCAAACAGCATAGATACACGCAAAAGAGCTCTTTCAGGTAATATTGCAAAGTAAAGAGGAGCCTTTCTGTTATCAGAGTTTCCGTTTAAACCAGCAGTTTTTAACCTGGGGGTAAATTTCGTCATTCTTGCTGAAGGTGGTTCTGGCAACTGTTATCGAGGCCGACTGCGGATTGTCGCAAAAGCAGCGTAGAAATATTTTTTGAAAAAAAGGGTAGCTTTCAAGATCCAATATTTAAAATTCCCCCTCTATTCTGCCCCCAATCCACGCCCCCACCCCAACACTCTCTCCTTCCCACTTGCATTATCACCTCCTCACGTCACTCTCTCCCCACCGCCCTTTTTTTACCGAACACCCTCTCGTGGAGAAGATGGGGTAGAAAGAAAAGGGAGAGATAAAGAGATTTCGCGTCTAACGTCGGAGCTCTTTATACTTCGCTTGACAAATTTTTATTATATAATCACCAATGGAAATATTGGGGGTAATTTTGTTTTGTAAAGGGTAAATAATGTAAAAAAAAGATTAAGAACCTCCGGTTTAAACCCTTAGCGAATTCATCGGTAACAAAAGGACAACTGTCAAGCACACCTGTCGCAAACAAAACTTTCATGCAATCAACCACCCCTGTCAGTTGCGAAGCGTACTCCTTTGCGTGAACGGCATAACCGTGCACATTTGTGTAACTCCTTCCACCTAACAAGACAATGATTGATACATACAGGATCGATATTAATTACTACCAACGATTAGCGACGTTTTCGTATATTACAATTACGCCAATAGGAATGATAACATCGAAGATTATTTTTTTGCGATGGTACACGAAATACTTGGATGATTTTCGAAACAAATTCACAGAAAGGAATGATTGTCGTGAAAAGTGCGTCGCAAAACAACCCATTTTATAAATAATTTTTATTCGAGTGCATCAACCTGAAATCCTGGAAATTAATGTTGAAGAGAAGTACGGATTATCAGATATCAGACATCCTGTCGCGATATATATTCCTTCATGTGCACAAGTCTCACATGTAGCGCCGGTTAGTCATGCATGACATGTAAAAAACTCCGGTATTTGTTTGTTTTAATTGAAATAAAATCAAATTCGTTTTCCGTGTATCATTGTTGGTATTTTTAATAGTAATTGCGTCCCAGGTTTGTGAAGTTTGAAAACTAACAAACAGAAAATAACTTATTCTAAAACACAATTTAAATTCAGTCGAAAATAAATTGCTCCAAGGATGCCATACAGAACAAAAAGGATTTAGTCGCGAGAGTTACGTTAGATCACTGTAAAACGACGTCAAGGTAGAACAAACAAATTTAAAATTAAAACAAAACAGGGGTGACGACTAAACGTAACGATAAATATCCCACATTTTAAACTACGTACGATTGGCAGCATTTTACTAGCAGTTTCATTAATGACCCGCGTATTAAAAATTGATTATCGTAAGCTAAAAGTTGGATTGGCGCTTCCGAGAAATCATACGTGGTATATAACATGTACAAGCTATATCCAGAAACGAAATGACAAGTCATATCCTTCCAATGTACTTTTAATTAGCTCCTTAGTGACTTCTCCCTTCCTTGACCAAGTAATGTTTCAAAAATGTGAACTTTTTAGTCAGCCACGCTTGACGGTTGCTGTTTATTAAAGTCATCTTGTCTTATGACCACTCAGAAATGCCTTTATTGCCGAATTAGTTATTCACTTTAAACATCAACATTCAGGATTGACACAATCGCAGATTTGCGAGATTTATTTATAAAATATTACAGGCACCATATTAAAGCATATTAAAGTTGATATCATTTCTATTTAATATCTGTATTCCGGTATCGATAATAATTTACTATTCGCTTGAAATTGGTACGGTTAAATTTATAAACGTTGATAGGTGATATCAAGTCAACGCAAATGTTAATTTTGGTTTTAAAATTACAGCTGTTGCCGATGTGAGCGCACGGGTAAACGCCAAATTTAGAACTTTGCTCTCCGTCGATCGACAAGAATTTGCAAAAACTTGCAAAAAAAGTGTGGGAATATAGATTGCCAAATACAGCATATCGCAGCCAAAACGATTGAGGTGACAAAAACAATTAGCGATCACAACGAAATTAACTAAAAAAAGGCTTTATTGCCGAATTTTAATGTTTCGACCCACGTTTTAGACTCGTTAGACGTTGTTGTGTATGAAAAATATTTTTTATTCGACTATCCAGTATTCATTGAAAATATCCAATTCAACACCGCCGAGCGTTTTTCCGGAAGAAGCGGAATTGGTGGGCGTGTATTATTAATAATCACACTATAAAAAAAAAATTGCCAATAATGCGAAAGCTTTCTCTCCTGTATGAACCACATAGGTTAGAATTCCAGAAAATAACGTTATGTAATGTAAAATTGGGTTACAAAAGTACTAGTAGGCAACTTATTTGTCAAACTCGCAAGAAAATATTTGTCAACTTTGAATTTTTGCCCAGTAAAATCGAAAAAAAGTTGCTTTTTCGCAGGCCCCTAAAAATATAAATTCGCAATTTTGCAAAAAAAAAGTGCGCTAATAGTAAAACACCTGGTGGATACCTATTTCAAAAAAATGTCTACAAATATAAGTGGATTGAACAACTTTTAAGGTATTCTCTAATTTCTCAAATTTTCACTGAACGCTGCATCAAAAATTAATAAAAACATCTTTCATTTAATTTTCCTTAAAATTATGAACAAATATTTTCTGTTTGATTAATATAAAATTGATATGTTAACTTCTGCGATTTGATATGTAATAAAAGGGCATTGTATCTTTGAACAAAATATTTTCAAATTTCTAAGGTAACCTTTCCGAGTTTATTTTTAGAAAATAATTTTTCATCCTCTCTTATATGTCCATTTTCAAAAGTATACAGGCTTTCAAAATAGTTTACGGTTTTGTGATATCAGTCGAAAACAAGTTTTCTTGTATTATTTCGTTGATAACTTCATACAGTATTAACATTTGAAATTGTTTCGGACAAGGAGTGCCAATACACACATAGATTATTTGCGAAAAAGCTATGTTACACAAGTTGTCAGATATTCTCAAAATATCCAATCTCAATTTTTTTTTTAAGCTGCTCCTAAAAATTTCGATAATATATATTCAAATATTTCATTTTACGATGCTTCAATAACTAAAAAAAACTTCTATTTATATTATTTACTCAATGTACCATGTTTGCCTTTTATTGACAAAGGTAGAAATTAGAACAGGGAAAATTTGAATTATAAAAGAGAATACTTCAGTCTCAAGTTAACAACTTTTCTCTCGATTTTTGCTATTTTATATTATGCGCTTCTTCAAAGTTGAAAATTATTTTTTCTACATTCTATTAAAAGCGTAAGCCAACTCAAAATATATGCATCAACACCTGAAATCTTTTACAGCATACAATGTCAATGAAGACTTGCGTTTTAATTATTCATTACAGGTTTCCAAAAGGAAAACGTAACTTCAGTGCTTTCATTTCTAGTTAATGGTCGGGCGTTAATTTGTAACTGATTATATCCAGATTTAACTTTTTCTTATGCACTAACTACTACATAACGCGACATTTTGAAATAACATATATTTAAATTATATGTCTAACCTGCATCATTCAAAAATCCCAAATGTTTCTGAGTCGCAGAGTTTAATTTAATATATCAATTTTATATGCTTCGTTAAATTCAAAATCACAGATTCAAAAGATTCCAATACTTACTTGACTCTTTGGATAGGCTTCAAGCTCACTTAGTGATGTAATGCCAGACAATTGGCATTGCCGTATTTTTTGATCAATGATAAATTGCCCCGCCAACTTTCAAGCAGTGTTTTCAGAAAGCTGAAAATAAATGTAATATGTGACATTATGTGGTGTAAGCCAATTGCTTCCAATTTTGATTTGAAATCAATGCAATTTGGCTAACTATGTCACCATCAAGTTTTGAGGGTATGTTTCACCGAGAATGCTGCTCGACAGTGGTACAGGAAAGAGAATCTCCTAGTAAATTGTAAAATTATCTGAATTAGAATCTTGTAGTTCATTATAGAATTCAATTTTATGATATCAATTTTGCTACTTGCTCGTAACAACCTGAAATGCTAAAAATATTTCTAGCAACGATTAATTGACAACCTATTTTAAATAGTTTCCTGAAGTATACAGATTATTAGATATTTTCCTAATCACGCTATATATCAAACATTTTAACAGTTTCTCAAATTTTTCTAATTGTCATTGTTTGCTACATTAAAAACGAAAAAAAAAATATATGTTTTTTTCAAATGAATTTTACATTCTTAAGATTACATTTGCTAGGTCCTTGTAAATTATAAGTATACATATTCACATTTTGCACTAATAGTTAGTTGACACCAGTAGTAATAAAATATGATCAGGTGAAATGACAACATAAAATGTCAATGAAGAATTCTAACAATAGCGAGATGAATTTACTCATTCAAATTCATAGTGTTTTCATATTGCACCTATTATTAGATAAAGTTTTTCTAAATCTTTAAGTAAACTGATTATGTTTTTTTCCTTTATTGATGTATACATAGCGAACAGTGAAGTATAAAAACGAGATGTGTCTCACACAAGACTTGAAACATTTTCAGCGAAATTGCTTGATTTAAAAACTTTCCGAATATTTCTTTGAACGCTATTTCAAAAATATCCCTTATTCAAATTTACAGGACAATTCTACCTTTTTTCTTTTATAAAATTGTAACATATATAAATTTATAACACAATTCAGAAATATTATCTTTGCAAGTTACTTATAAAATTATAAAATAACTACAAAATTCAATATATTCAACTATATACAATATGTATAGTTCTCGATGCATTGATCAATTCATATATATATATATATATAGTATTAACATTTGACATTGTTTTAAATACAAATGTCGATGCAGTCTTCGAAAACTTGCGACAAAAATAGATTTTCAACTTTTTAGCGTTTAAGTTCTGGTTGAACGCTGAATATGAATGGGGAAAACTTGTTTAATTTTTTTTAAAAATATTTCAATCCTAAAATAAAATTTTAAGATATTTTTTCCGAATTTGTAATAAAATCATAAGATATAATTTGAAATAAAATCATGAGATAACTAGAATTTATCTAGTAACACCCGAAATCTTTAACAGCATGCAATGACAATGAAGACTGGGAACATTTTCAAAAGAGCTGAAGAACTCATTTTTACCATACAATACCAATATAGATTTTTTGCGAAAAAGCTAGTTTTTTTTGTCAAGTTTGTAAAAAAATTATATATTTTTTTAATTTCTTTAAAATCGTTTAAAATAGAATGACAATACAGACTTGGGATAGACCTTGTATGTAAAAACACTGGATTTAAAAACTTCAAATATATTTTAATTTCAATTGTACGCTTTTTAAGTGTGTAAAATATATATACAATTTTAAAATTTTTTAAAGTTAGTATTTACACTTTCAAGTTAATCATCATAAGTTAAAACTTCAAATATATTTCTCTTTTTTATGTTTACCACAATATAATTGACATCTGAAAACAATTATCAATTTATCACTTAGCCTACATAATTTTATGTTAAAATATTAGATAAATCTGTAACCTTTTAAAAAAACTCAAGTTGAACTGATTAGTTTTAGTTGCATATATAAATAGAAACAGTAAATGAGATCCAATCCAAGAGATGCTTTTATGAGGAAGTCTGCCTTTGGTCGGACCAAATGTTACAGAAATACATTTGTGTTAATGTGCAGCAGAATACGCATACGGATCCACAGGAATAGAGGAAGAATAGGAGTTAGATTTGAGCAACACAATTCAATTCAAAGTTCCAAAGCACTTTTTAGAAATTCAACAATGGCGACAAATTAGAACATCGGTGGGCAAACTTCGTGTACTCGCCGGCCGAAATTTATATATTTACCACGTGCGGGACGAAATAATTTCCATCTGCGACAATTGCAACAATAAACTCAAATTATGGTGCACTCGCACCTTCTTTTCTTTTTAATATATATATATTCTATCAAACAATACACTGTTTTCGTTTACTTTTAATCAATGTTTATGACGTTTCGTTTCTTTGCCATGGCCAAAGCGTTGAAATCAAATGGCAACTAGGTTGCCCTGCAGTACGTCGTCCAAATGACAATCTGACAGGCGAGTACGCAATTTATTCTTAGTGTAATGCATTTTATGTAGAGCTGCTCACTTCAATATGCGTTTCCGACGTGCACATTGCACGTTTTCACTATGGCATAGATGAGCAGTGGCGCAGCAGGAGAAAAAATTTTCGTCCAAGCACGGCCTTCATCACAAATTTCCCAAACAAACATCACAAACAAAAATTAGTTCACGGGCTGCAATTTCAACCTCTGAATTAGAACGTCGAAATTGGGATGGCAATTAACACTATTCTCGAACGCTCGATTTAACAACTAAAACAGAGTGACATTGGTTTTCTTGGCCACTCAGTGGTTACGCTGGCTGACAAATAAGTAGCAAGCTTTCTTGGTTCCATTACATGAACCCACGTACATCTGAACCCACGTACATCTGAACCCACGTACATCTGAACCCACGAAAATTGCACCTATGGGAGTTTTTTTGTTTTACGGATATGTGAAATCATTCTAACCCTAACACATGGGTTTTTATGACCCGCATATAGACTGAACCCGCGGATATACACATGGGTTTAAATGTACGTGGGTTCAAATTTACGGTCACCATTTTTCTTGCAGATCACTACTGCGCGGTCCGACGTCGGTAGCAGGTCCAGCGGCTGGAAAGCACTGCCTTACACGACTTTTTGAGATATTATATATATGTGTGTGTTTACCCTGCCTCTTCAAATATACGAAACCTTCCCTTAAATAAGATATACCAATTTTTTTGCGCTTCAGAATTATGTGTACCAATACGGAGGTAATTGATTTTGATCGCCTACTTTACATCAAGTTATGTAAAGGAACTAAAACCTACGGGCAGGGGATGTATTCTCTTGGTTAACACAACACAGACGGTCCCAAACTCGTAATAAAACTAAAATAGGAAAAATTGAAATAAAATTTTTAACTAACACCAACCTTGCACACATACTACGGGATTACCAATATTTTATACCTAATTAGATTTATATTAAAAAAATTCCGAAGATTTTCATTACACACTTGGATCTTTACAAACGAAAAAAGCTTTAATAAGATTAAAGTAAAAATAAGTATAGCTATCAATGATTTTTGTTACTTCAGTTTCAAATACGTCGCAGATTTTTCAAAGAATTGAAAACATTCATGATTCTGGCTAATAAAATATTTACTAGTGTGTTATATTTTGCTTTATTCCGCAAGTGTGCGAATACCCTAAACATTAGTCGTCAGATGTCAGTCTTCGACTTCAAATTGCACAAACTACAAATATTACCAAACTAATGACCTACTCAAACTAAATATAAGTATTCCTATACCAGAACATGTTCTTTATTTTATAATATCCCCCTTAAGCGAATAAGTTAACAAGGTTAAGAAAAGGCTGCTTGGTCAAGAAACTGCTTTCAGTGAGAAAAAAAAAAACATATTTGATGCGACGGTTACCTTTGCTTTTTGGCAACCAGATCTTCGATGTCTAGTGAAATAACAAAGAACTCGGAGGTATTGGTTTTTAATTTCGGTTGAAATATAGGCTAACCGATAACAATAGAGCTATGCTGAAATATATAAACACGGCGAGTAAATCGAAATATTTTATTATCAATTCCCTGGAAAGCTTGCGCAGTAATTTCCCAGTATCTGTAGGCCTATCAGGTTAACAACAACGGTACAGCGACTTTCCAAGCTTATTCAGTAGGAATGTTACAAAACGCGCATTTTCTTGCCAAAACATGTAGGCTACGTATCACATCTTCAAGATACCGTTACGCTTATAAAAACAACTGCTGATTGCCCGCGGAAGCTTTTGTTTACATCAAATCTTGATATAATTCAGACTCAATACAGGGCTATACCCTCGTTATTGAATTTTTCTTACAACGCAAATATCTCCTACCGTGTGGAACTTTTAAAATTAACTTTTAAACGTGTTACGAATTAATGATCCTCCTAATGACATATATCAGATCTTTATTACTACGCGTGTTTTTTCCCAACTTGAAACTTAGCAATTTATATGAAAATCATTTGATTAGTACCTTGTTAATTGTTACCCGGAACGAATCAATGTTTAACAACATTCCTCACTCCCAACGCTGAATTTGCGACAATCCGCAAGCGGTCTCGATAACTGTTGCCAGAGGTCTCGACATTGTGATACAATAATAGGCTAATACACATCATCATATCCAAAAATAGGCTAAAAATACTATTTTCCGCAAGTTAGCCTATCAATAACACAATGTTGCTCGCATCAAAACATGTAAATAGATGCGTTTTTTGTTTATTCCAAATCTTTTTTTCAAACTAACGAAAGTTTCCCCTAAGAAAGACAAAACGTAACCCCAGAAAAAATTTACCCCAGGTTACGAACTGCTAGATTAAACAAAATATTAAGTGAAGGAAATACAGATATCATACCGTGTTTCCCGAAAAAAAGACTGGGTCTTAATTAGGGTGACCATATTTCCAAACCCAAAATGGGCGACGCTTTGTTAGGTAGAACCATATTTTTCCAGTGCCGTATATATACATTACACAATGTACTACATTCTCAAGGATTAAGTATAGTATATAAAATAATGCATTTTTGTCTTATCAACGTGCAATTGTAAGTTAAGCTTGCCCTTAATCATATAAAAGCATCTAAAACTTCTAAAGCGTGCAACATCTGTGACGATAT